CAGTTCCCCGACGAAGACCCAGCAAACTAGGCTCCTCGCCTTTCTCTGCCAGGCGATCAGGACAAAGTCAGGACTCCGAGCTGCTGGCCACGAGGTGGAGGATAGTCGTTGCACATGCGGCGCAGAGTCAGATGAGATCCCGCACCGTCTCCTGGGACGCCCGCTCTCTGAGGCCCATATAAGCAACAGTTTTACAGCAGAAGGGTTAGACACCATAGCCACCCTGGGCAGTTTTCCTCTTGCTGCTGGTTTTCAGGTAAGTTTGGATTTTGACATCGGAGCCCCAGAGGGCCTCGGAATCAGCTCGGCCAAATTCTGGTCGGTGGACCCTGGGGCGACCCCCGAAACCAGCTTTGTCGGGAAAGTTTCCACGGACGGGTCTTGTTTAAAGCCAGGCAGCAAAGCTCACCTTACAGCAGGTTGAGCAGCAACCAAGACCAACGATCACGGCGAAGTCACCGCCGCTCTCACTGGACAAGTGGGCCGAGGTCTCCCCAAATCCTCACCCGCTGCCGAGCACTGTGCTGTGCTTGCTGCTGTCTCCTCTTCTTCCAGGATCACGGAGATCTCGGTAGACTACCAAGGAATCTTAGATGTGTATTCGTCGGGGCTCAGCAGGAAGAACAGGTACTCAGGCATCGGTCTCCTAGCTAGAGCCGCCATAGGTTGGCACCCAGGTTTGCGTTTCAGCAAGGTCAAAGCACACCAGAGCCTCGACAATGTGCCAGCTGGATCTCCCGAGTGGGAAGACATCGCAGGCAACCGAGGAGCTGATCGTTTTGCAGGCATTGCCTCGAGGAATTTCATTCGACCCTCGGAGGGGGAGGTCGAAGCTCATGCAAGGGACTGCCAGCTTCTCAGCGAATACCTGTTATACGCCCTCGTGGACCTCCTTTGGTGCTTTTCGGGCGCCTCTTGGGCAATCTGGAGGCCGTGTTAAGCGTCTTGGTATGCTGTTGAGCTGTCGACGAGCTGTCTTGGGCAATCTTGGAGGCCTTTGTGATCCATTCGAGAAAGCCGGAGGGCCGAAGGTACGCTGTGCAGGGGCGTCCGAGCAGGGCGGGAGCCGAAATGCGCTCGGGGGTGAGTGGGTGGGCCCTACGAAACAGAACGATCATAGCATCGCAGTTATATAGAGACCGAGGAAGAGAGCGGGAGGGAGAGCCGCCCCTGCCCCCCTGGCCCTTCCTGGCCGCCCCTGCGCCCCACTTCTTCCTCCTCTCTCCTCCCCGAACATTCTGGCACTGCCGTCCCGCGCACCCTGACGTGGTTCGGCACCAGGGGGCCGCCGCCAGCCGACCCTGCCCGGGCCTGGTTGTCTCCTGAGTGTCGGGACTGCCCTTCTTCCCCCTCCCCCCCGAGAGAGGGAGAGGGAAAGAGAGAGGGGTCCTGGGGGTTGTGACCCCCCCGCGGAGGCGGGGGGGAGCACCCCTCCCTGGGAGAAGCTTTCGGCTCCAGAGCGTCAGCTTCGTCGTCGTCCCCCTTCAAGGTCGGCGGCACCGGCTGCTAGGCCTTCGCAATTAAGCGAGAAAGAAAAGAAACCATGATGGACCCATGAACCCGGAAACGGGTATATAATGTTGAACACACCGGTAATCACGATGCCGTGCCACAAGTTCCGCTACACTGTGCTGCGACGCGCCGCGCTACGTTGCACTGCGATGCCACGTTGCGCTGGCGCCGAACTGGGCGACGGGCACTTGCAATGCTGAAGGTATCGATGGCGATGTGCAATGATAGGGGCTGTACTGCGCCGTGCTATGCTGACATGGAACTGATCATGCTGCGCTGATCTGTGCTGTGCTCTTTTGCGTTGTGGATCAACTCGCCCGTGGCCTCCGAATCCTGACCGAACTGACTTGGATCTTGAGCTCGAGCTGCCTGAACGTGTGGCTCGCCCTGAGCTGGCCGCAATCGAAACGCGCGGGGGCGCTCGACCAACTCGAGCTCAAGATCCGATTCAGTTCCGAAGCTGGGAGAAGCAACGCTCCACATGTGAAGCGTGGGACCGCCCTCACGACGCCGAACTGGGCGGCGGGCACTTGCAGTGTTTTTTGTTTTTTGGGTACGGTATTGCCAGCGGAGGATGGCAAGCCCGTGGCTTGTCAAATGCGGGCGAGATCCACAAGAAGGCGCGGCCACAGACGCTAACCGTCTGGCCTGCAAGCGCCATACATGGATTATCTCACCTAGCATCGATGGACAGACCCGTCTGCAATGCTGATCGCATTGGCTGGCGTGGCAGAGTCTGCGAAAGGGGAAGGCACGATCACCGTCGCAAAACATGGACACCTCACTACAAAACCTGCCAAGTCGGGCTGGACAGTTGAATCCAGGTCCTGCCCCCCAGAGCATCTGATGACATTGGCTGCAAAAGCCAACGTATACGATCGGTGCCTCTAATTCGCCAGCCGCGGCGGCGCGCTCCAGGGGTGACATGCGGCCGGGAAAAACGTGTCGATAACCTTGCCCTCTCGAAACACAAAGAACGTTGACCCCCTGACGTGCTTGTATAATGCTTGAAAACTCGTCTCCTCCTAGGGGTTCTTGGGACCGAAAGCTGGGACATCGAAAGTGGCTATCTTCTTCTGGGACCCCTCTCGGGCGTTTCTTGGGCTTCTCTTGGGCCGCCTTGGGGGCCGATTGGGCCGTCCTGCGTTCATCGTAGGCCGTCTTGGAGATTTCTTGGGGGCCTCCTAGGCCGTTTTGGGGGGCCTCTTGGGCCGTCTTGGACGCGGTGACAGCCCAAGAGGCGAGCATGCGAACAAAAATACGTTTTCCCATAGGAATGGAAGGATTTTACCTAACAGCGAAGACTGATAGGTTTCTAGTGGACTCAAAAGAGCTCACAGATCACTCCACAAGGGGGTCCGGGCAGGTGTTGGGAGTTGCCGGGCGGCAGGGTGCCCCGCTCGTTTTTCACCAACAGTCACACACTTCGTGCTCTTCGATTTCCCAGAACTCCATTCCCAGGCCACATTCTGGAGGGCCGGATGCAACAGTCACACACTTCGTGCTCTTCGAGTTCCCAGAACTCCATTCCCGGGCCACATTCTGGAGGGCCGGATGCAACAGTCACACACTTCGTGCTCTTCGAGTTCCCAGAACTCCATTCCCGGGCCACATTCTGGAGGGCCGGATGCAACAGTACCACTTCGTGCTCTTCGAGTTCCCAGAACTCCATTCCCGGGCCACATTTTGGATGCCCGGAGCCAACTGTAGGCCACTTCGTGCTCTTCGAGTTCCCAGAACTCCATTCCCGGGCCACATTTTGAATGCCCGGAGCCAACTGTAGGCCACTTCGTGCTCTTCGAGTGCCCAGAACTCCATTCCCGGGCCACATTTTGAATGCCCGGAGCCAACTGTAGGCCACTTCGTGCTCTTCGAGTTCCCAGAACTCCATTCCCGGGCCGCATTTTGATGCTGATGCAGAGGCTGAGAATGGTGATGCTGATGCTGAGGCTGAGGCTGAGGCAGGCAGGCTGAGGCTGATGAGGCTGAGGCAGGCTGAGGCTGAGGCCGAGGCTGAAGGCAGGCTGAGGCAGACGCTGAGGCAGGCTGAGGCTGAGGCAGGCTGAGGCTGAGGCTGAGGCTGAGGCAGGCTGATGCTGAGGCAGGCTGAGGCTGAGGCTGAGGCTGAAGGCAGACTGAGGCTGAGGCAGGCTGAGGCAGACGCTGAGGCAGGCTGATGCTGAGGCAGGCTGAGGCTGAGGCTGAGGCTGAGGCGGATGCAGGCTGATGCTGAGGCAGGCTGAGGCACAGAGGCTGAGGCTGAAGGCAGACTGAGGCTGAGGCTGAAGCAGGCTGAGGCTGAGGCTGAGGCAGGCTGAGGCTGAGGCTGAGGCAGGCTGATACTGAGGCAGGCTGAGGCTGTGACTGCGACTGCCGCTGCCACTGCGACTGTCATCGCGAATGCGACTGCGACTGCGAGAACAGCAGAACTCTACAACTGGATTCTCATCTGAATCTTAAGGGGAATGCTTCCATATATGCTTCTACACATCGCTGTTAGGTTGCTTTGCCGGGATAATTAATTTCTCGGGGCTCTCTTGGGGTGCCTCTTGGAGCATCTTGGGGTGTTTTTGGAGGCCTGCTTGGGGCCTCTTGGGGGCGTACCGGCGCCTCCTGGGATCTCTCGGGGCCGAAAGCTCGGAATTCGAGAGTGGCTTTCTTTCTCTGGGACTCCTCTCGGGCGCGTCCTGGGGCTCTCTTAGGCCGTCTTGGGGGCCCATTGGGCCGTCCTGGGCTTCTCGGGGCCCGTCTTGGAGCTCTTTTGGGGGCCTCCTAGGCCGTCTTGGGAACCCCTTGGGCCGTCTTGGACGCGGTGACAGCCCAACAGGCGAACATACGAAAAATATACGTTTTCCCACAGGAATGGGATGATGCTTGCTTCTTGGAGCTCTCTTGGGGTGCCTCTTGGAGCGTCTTGGGGTGCTTTTGGGGGCCTTCTGGGCGCTTCTTGGGGGCTTCTCGGCGCCTCCTGGAGCCACTCGGGGTCGAAAGCTTGGAATTCGATGGTGGCTTTCCTCCTCTGGGGCCCTCTCGGGTCCCTCTTGGGGACTCTCTAGGGCCGTCTTTGGCCCTTCGTGGGCCGTCCTGGAGCTGTCTGGCTGTATTGGGGCACGCTGGGGCGCGTCCTGGGCCGTATTGGGGCGGTCTCGGCAGCTTCTGAGGTCGTCAAACACGGACCGACAGCGAAAACAAGCAAGATGTTAAACATATACGTTTTACGAAGGGAATGGGGCCATTTGGGCCCCTTGGGGCTCTCTTTGGGGCCCTATTGGGGGTCGCTTGGGGTGTCTTGGCGCCCTGGGTCTGTTCTGGAGCCTCTTGGGGCCTCCTTGGCGCCTTCTGGCGGCCTCCTGTGGAGCCCTGGGGCTCCCGAGGGCCCCGGGGCCCACATTTGCGGTAGCGGCGCCGGCCCCAGGCGCCCGGACCCGGTGCGCCGTTATATGTATAAACCGAGATTGATTGCTCGAAGCTCGCGAGCGCAGCCGAAGCTACGCGCGGGCTGGTGCCCGAATGGGCGTCGGACTTGGAGGTGGCGCCGAGATTGTCAGATCATCGCCCCGCATCCTCATCCCAGATAATGGGACGACCCTGTTCTCGTCGGTGGACGTGAATTTACCGCTGAACCTGATGTCCAGTCCGCTCCACGCCGCAGAATGACAAGTCGTGGCTGCGCGCGCGTCCAAGCCTTGGTAATCTTCCGCTGAACGATAGGGAGCCGCATCCGCGACCCCCTTGTTCATGAGATTCGAAATCGTGACGTTCTCGACCGCGATGTCTTTCTGGAAACCCAACCTCAAAGCGACGGCCCCTTTATTATGATGGCTCATTGCGTCCCCTTGACACTCGAAATTGGTCTTCCCCTTGCTGCCCCCTGTCCAAAGAGACTTGATGAGGTTCCCCGTTTCGACGCAGGTCAGTCCACCTCCGGCCCACCGCTGAATGCTAAGCGGGATGTGAGAGCCCCCAAAATAAAAAGAAAGGACGTCCTTCGAGATGCCCGTATTTTGCAAAGCGTACCTAAAAACACCCAAGGTGATCTGTGCGTCCGTGAACGAGTTTCCGACGTACGCGTAGCAATTGTTAATATCCCATGCCTGGCCGATGCAGAAGACACCCCCGTCCGCGCCAACAGCCTTTTTTTACCGTTGACCCATGTCGTCATTATCTGGTCGACCTTAAGTTTTAAGTCATGGATATGGACATGTCTCAAAGCGATGTTCTCTACGACCTTCTCTAGAGGGTCAACGGATGTGTCTGGGCAAAAACCGAATCCATGGATTGCCACTCCGCTCCGGCGAAGCAGAACGCCGTAAAATGCTGAAAGAATCTGGCAACGCGCTGCCGTTACCCATGACTGATAGCAATGGCCCTCTGGAGCCTGTCATAAAATCCTGAAGATCGGCGCGCAGCTGCTCGATGCGCTCTTCGACGGTCCAGTTGGAACCCCTGATTTCGACATTTGTGCTTGCCATGAGCGACGCTATGCTGGGGACATTCGGCATTGGCGCGTTCGCGATATGGTCCATGAAAATGGCGTGGCTCAGCTTGGCACCACATGTCTGAGTCAACGATGGCCCGATGTCCAAATTCTGCAAAAGAACATTCCAAGCGCCGTTGAGTGCTACACCGCCCACTTCAAACTCCTTTATAATCAAATTCTCAATGGTCACGCCATCGCTATCTTTTCCGTGTATGCCATGGTGCGAGGAAAGGCCAAGCACGCAGTTACGAATACTCACGTTACGCGCGCACACCAAAGCCGTGCTGGTTACCATACCGTTTGCGAACTGTGAAGGGCCCTGGCCAGCAATGAACGGCGCCGAGCCAAGTTCGATAATACTGAAGAAGCGTTGCTTTTTTGTGGAAGTCCTGCGACGTAGAAATGCTGTTCCCCTCGCAATCGATCTCCACGTTGTCTGCCTCCACCGTCAACGCTGCGAAAAAAAAAAAAAGAATCCGCCACATTGCGGATAGGTGATCGAGCCCTCTGGGATTCCACTCCAGCTCAGATGGACCCCAGTAGGGTTGAACGCAAGATTCTCCTTTTTGTGATATGTGCCAGGCGACCGGATCCGAACTGTACCCTGCGCAATATCGTCTGCATAGGGGTCGACAGACAGGCGGCTTCGCAAACGCTTGGAAAGTGCGTCTCCTCCGTGGATCAAAAAGGAAATGGCCATCACGAGCGCAAATATCTGGACGTAGCAATGGCATCCCATGTTGAAGGTGGCAGTATGAATATAAGGGTACGGTTGGGCAACGAAGATAACAAAAGTAGAGGGTGCACTTGATAGCTTGTTTCGCTGCGGGCGTCGCTCACTCTGGATATCTAAGGCTTCGATGTGGCTTCAACCTCGACCAGGATGGCTCCACGCGGGGCCTACAAGGGCCCCATGCAGGCTCCGAGCGCCCCCAACAACGCCCCCGCGCATGCCCAAAGTAGCTCGAAAAGGTTCTGAGGGCGGCTCAAGATCGGGCACCGTGCGGTAGCGCGCCCCAGCGTGACCTCCAAACGACTCCAGGATGCCTCCGAGGGGGCCCCAAGAGGCCCCGACCTAACCCCGAGCCTGACCAAGGTGGTCCAAGATAGCCCAAGACGTCTCCAGCAGACAGACACCTGGCAATACCCCAGTGTATTCCAATGGTTCTGCCATTCTCGCATTTTCAAGGCACAGCTCCCCGAGATGGTCCCAAGGGGGCTCCAAGAAGGAACGCTACTGCCACCCAGCGACTTCCCACGCGCCCATGACGTTGACCTCGGATGCGTGAGATCACCGAAGCCCGCGGCCAATATTGTCGAGGTGGCCCAGCTTGCGCGCGAGGCCACCAAAGAACTGAAACCAGGATCTCAATCTTAGGAAATCGATCCGCAAGCCACGTTTGCATGGGCGTCCAGCTGCGAATTCTGACTACCTCCTCAGACCGCGTCGTCTCGACTGGACCTTGCAAGCAATCATCGCCGACGCACGATGCACCGATGCACCCCTGCAAGCTCGTGGTTCCGCGTGCACTTATGTGACCCCTCGTTTTAAAAGATGGAAAGCGGCGTGGTGTAAAGGGGTGTGGTGTGGACGCCCTGCGCGCCCATGAATATATGGGCGACTTCGCTGCGTCGCCATCTGCGACGCGCGCGGCCGAATCCAAAGCAACGCCGGCACCGCTGCTCCAAGTGGGCCACGGCGAGGTGGGAATGAATGCAAGGGGTATACAAACGATCGGCTGGTAATGCAAAAAGGGCGTGGAGCTCTAGTGCGCCACGCAAACGGGAATCAGAAGCATTGGCACGATTGACGCAATCATTGCGTTGAGAAGGTGTTCCGCGCAAGCCCAGCGTCGGATCGCGGGAAACGCTCGGTGCCCCAGAAGGCCAGCGAATCTGACCACCCTCACGACTCGTCAAAATGCGAAAGACCCTCTTCTACCGACCCTTCCTGTTGCACCGCTCCCCGCATAATTGCCCCATCGCTTTCCAACGGATACATGACTTCCCATTTGCCCCCCCATGGCCGCGCCGCGCGCATGGGCGCGCGCGGCGAGAATGAGCCGCGCGACTCTGTCACGGGGGGCGAAGCGGACGCTGGGAGTCCGCCCCCCATCGTCGGATTCTTTTGAACGCGCTGAATGGACAACGCGGACTGGACATGACGCCGAGCACAAGAATGCATGGCCGCGTAGAGTTAATAACCAGGCGCATCAACATGCGCCCTTTCACTTTGCAGCCCGGCGACAAGCAGAGACCTCACGCGCGCCCCCTTCCCGACTTGCATGACCCACGAAATAAAATTTCACTCGGTCGGCCACTGACTCAAGGAGCGCAACGCGCGGAATATCGCGCGTCAGTGGTCGGGCTGTTTCGGCGAAGTTCCACAGGAAAGCGTGAGCGTGAACGGTCGCATCGGTGTTTCCCCGGGCCGGCCTAGGTAGGCGCAAAAGAACATGCGAATTGCGGTGTCGCGGCAAAGTGGCCCGCAGCATGCGGGCGCGAATGGGCTGGGCAGGCATTGGGGGCAGGGCGCGGGGAAAGATAGGATTCTGCACGTTGCTCAAACGTCCGTCGAAAAGGGCGCTGGAAGTCAAAACGGTGCCCGCGGCGATTTCAATCTGCCGACGTGCCAAAACTGCGATGTAGGGCGGCCTCTGTTTCAGCGCTCAACCTCCACCCCCCGCCCACGAAACAATCATCGTAACAGATGCGCTGAGCTGCGCTGCCCTGTGAAAGCACAATGCGAGACATGTTTGGCGCGCCCCGCAATTCCCCTACATTTGATTTCGTGACTTCGCCACTCTGCTGTCTAAAGCGCCGACTGGTCTCCCTGACGCACTTTCATTCTGCCTCCTCCGCCGCCGAGGTTCCCCCCGCCCGCCGGCGCCTGGCTACGCTGCGATAGCACGCAACTGCGCGTGAATATATCATGTTTTCGCCTCCTAGAATCCGAACCATCAAAAACGAAATTTCGGATTGCAGCCGCAGGACACGAACATAAAACCGATAAACCGATAAACCGATCAACCGATAAACTATTTCGGTTGATCGGTTTATCGGCAGATCGACCGATAAACCGATATAATCATATCGGTTTATCGGTCGATCTGCCGATAAACCGATCAACCGAAATAGTTTATCGGTTGATCGGTTTATCGGTTTTATGTTCGTGTCATGCGGCTGCAATCTATATAAATATATATGTATGTGTATAGTCATATTCATGCTCATCTATATATATATGTATACACATGCATATATATATATATATGTATATATATATGAATGCACACATATATACATGTGTATATATATACATATATACATATATATATACATAAACACGTGTATATGTTCGCCGCCCCGCCTTCGGCTATATTGTCAGCACATCAAATCTGCAAGAACAACAACAAGTTATGTTCGCCGCTCGCCTGGGGCATCGCCAAACGCGTAACGTCGAAAAGCCATGAAGAGACTCTGTGGAGGAGGAATACTTTGCGGGAGATATCGCAAGTAGGGGGCGCTGATTGCTTCCTAGGGTTGCCTAGTCTGCCGTGGTTGAGGTTGCAAGGTAAGGTGCAAGACACTGAGGGAACCAAGCCGGCGGCTGTATGCAGATCACACTCAAGGGATCACTACAAGAGAAGGGGGGGGGAGGAGATGGTGGGTGAGCCAAAATTCGATATCGGAGTTTTTTTAAAGTAACGCTAGACTCCTACCATGAATGTGGCACGAGAAGCCACAACTGGTAAAGACAGATGCGCCATGTAAAGAGGCAAAGGTTGCTGCGAAAGGCGGGGCTGTAACAAGGACGCCCTCCAAAGACGGACCCTGATGCCGCCTTCCCTTCGAGAGACCACTGCTCCCGTACAGGAAACGCCCGGGTCGGACTGGAGGAGGCAGGAGGAGGCGGTGCAACCTGGCCTGGTTGGCTGTTACGCTTCCCTTGTGAATGCTCACCCACCTTGTGCTCCAGGACTTCCCCCGATCATCGTCGAAAGCGGGACTGTGTTGCAAACCTGTCGGGCCAATGTGAGACTCGGAGTCCACCGAAACACAAACACCATAGCAAATGCCGCAGATAAGTGCAACTGCACCCGTCACATCGTGAGACCACGCACGATCGCCTGCATACCTTTGGCATAATGACTGTATGGCTCGTTGACCTTGCAAGGCCATGGTTTACATCCCAAACTGTCCGCCAAACTTTCACAAGCTTCCAAGCTTCCGTTGCTGTGAAGTGCTGACTTCCGCCACTCCTGTGACGGCTCCTTCTGAGCAAGGGATGTCAGCTGATGCTTCAGGTGTCTGGCGTGACGCCGTCGCATGTTGCCGAGCGGGCACTCCAAACCGTATAGCCCCAACGATGATGCGGCGAAAGACACAAAACCGAAACCACTGTCGACTCCAGTGGAAGCGACTACGGCAAGTGCGTGTCGTGACGACCCCGGCATTGCTGGGGAAACCAACAGGTACCGATACCGCTGCTCCCCGGACCTCTCGCAGGGTGCGTTGTGACCAGCACTCCAAAGCGAATCCAGCCGTGGCGGCGAGGGCCTCCCAGGAGGCCCCAAAAACGGGAAAACGATCGGGGATCTTCTGACCCTGGTCAATCCAGACCCGGGTAAGTCAGCAGGAAACCAAAAACTGCAATGCAGGGAAAAAACTGCAACGCAGGTCTTCGCAAACCCGGGTCAGCCAATATGCGCGGCCGCCTCGCGGCCACGAGCGGCTCGCTAACCCGGGTCAGCCAGAGGGGGTCTTCGCAGGATCCTGCAGGATCTGGACCCCCGTTTGCACTGACACCCGTCTCTTAGGCCCCGAAACGAGGCAAGGGTGGCGGTACCGGTACCATTCCCTCCTCTGAGTTGACATCGGACACCACACGGACCGCTCGACATGGACCGATCGGCGGCGCCTCGAGCGCAAAGCCGCTTCTCGGGAGCGGCCAAGAGGGGGGTGTCCAAGAGGGGGGGGTGCAAATCATGGCCGGCGGCATGTGCGCGGCCCAGCGGGGGGGCCAGGGACGTCATGAAACAAGAAGAGGCGCCATGAAATCTGGGGAGATATCATGGCCCCCGCCATGATATCCACCCCCCCCTAGTCATCACCCCCCTCTTTTCCACCCCCGAGCAAAGCCGCTTCGTGCCGGTCGATGCGGGGCCCCCGGCGGCGCTCGCCCCGGGACGCCCGCGGCTGGATCGCCGCCGCGGCCACGCGGCGCGAGCCTGCCGCGCAGCGGAGGCCAGGCCACAGGAGACCTGCCGCAGGAGAGCCAACCCGGAGACCCCGGAACGTCCACGCATGTTTGGTGTGGGAGCGTCACGCCTTCCATCGTACAGTCGGGGCGTTGACCTAAGGAACCCTAAATAAGGAACGAGACCCCTTTTTTCCATAAGTTTAACTTCGATTTCCGATCGAAAGCCGAAAGAAAACCTTGGGCAAGCTGTGAAACACTCAAGGAACACCCAGCCCCTCCCCAACGAAAAGGGTTCCTTCTTCAGGGCCCCGACTGTAGAATCCTGGAAACCCAAGAAATAGGGGGCAGAAAATCCACCCCGATAATTAACAACCCTGACACGCGAAGCCGTTCAGTAAACGCACCCAGAGAAGGAAATCAAAAAAGGCAGGTCTGTTTAGTAAACGCCCAGGGCCGTTTAGAAACTGCCAGTTGTCCGGTACGGGTGATTTTTCCTCCCTTGAAGAAGCCCAGGGCGCCCTGGAGGCGAACAGGGTGTTTCTCCCTCCTCGCGCGGGACCGCGGCCTCCACCACACCTCCACACGTTCTTCGAGGAGGCTCCACCCCTGACGGGGCGAGCGGGGATCTGTGCCTCTTTAACTGGCCGCTTACTCACTGGTCGCATCCGCTCTCGGGATGCGCTGGTGCAAGCAGGACCATCCCGATCTGCTGCGTCGGGGCTGACTGAGGTCGGAGCCATCCCTGTGAGGACCTTCAGTCCAACGAGGCGCCGCCAAACCTGGCGCGCCCGCTCGCCCTCGAGCACCGCTGCAAGATGATGCTGCCTCCCTCTCCTGGTGCCCCTCTCTTTTTTTTTTCTCTCTCTCTCTCTTTCTCTCTCTCTCTCTCTCTCTCTCTCTCTCTCTCTCTCTCTTATAAAGAAACAAGGGCAAGCTCCATGCCACGAGCTGGCATCGTCTGACCGCGAGAGCTTCTGCAGGGCCCTCGCTCCCCGGCACTCCAAGACCCGCTGAGCCTGCGACCCGTTGCTGCATCCGTCTGCACCTCCTGCGCTGTCCCGGTGTTTCTCTCCGTCCGTCTCTTCCGATCCCTGGAGAGCATTTTGTTACTCGGCGTTTCGACATTGGGCGGAAGGAGGGGGAGGGAGGGGGGGTGTGGCTCTGGACCTCTGCTCAGTGTGACTGTTTGCAGCAGTGCCTCTGGGGGAGCCTGCGCCAACAACAGCCAAGATCTACTCCACGAGGAGGGGGGGGAGAGGGGATGGGGTGCGAGGGCCAGTGCCGATCGGCAAAACAATGAATAAGAAAACGACCTGATGAGCTCTGCCGCATGCTCTCCACCATGTGTGCTTGTCCTGTCCTGCGGTCTACTCCCTCCTCTCTGATGTACGAGATGCCGGCCCTCCCCATGCGTTGTACTCTCCACCTCTTTCGGGGATCCGACGATTTCGACTTTGAGGTAAGAACCTGCGCCTGTTTCTTATCGCATTGGGGAAGCCACTCTCGCGAACCCAATTCGAGTCGCGCACGTGTCGGCTGATTCGGGGCAGACAAACGTCGCTGCGTGCGCACATCGTATCCTCGCTTTCTTCCAGCTGGGGGGGGCGGACAGGGCGTGGCCAGAGAGGCTGTGGGGAGTCGTCCAGAGGGGCTCGACGTGTACACAGCGCCGTCTGGACGGCTTGGGGGCTCGGTGCACAGACGCCCCCAGCTTCCGAATCTGTGGGATGCTGGGGCGTCCATGCTGTGGAGGCCCGACCACAAGAAACCTTCCGCAAGAAAACCAACCCTGAGACCTTAGGACGTCCATGGATGTTTGGTGTGGGAACGTCGCGCTCTCCATCACAAAACACTCGAAAGCCAAGGCACCATGGAGGCGCGACCAGGGAGTTTCTTGGCATGGGTCTCCACTGTAAAGGCGGACCCGGGACAGAAGAACACCCCTCAAGAACAGGAGGGCCTCCGTCGGCTAAAACAAACAAGACATCCAAAGGTACCCTCCCCAGGATCCCAAATACATCAGACAAAATCAGAAAGAACACCAAGGTACCCGCCCCGAACCGACCTCGATCTTCTACCCCAGTCCGACTGTACACTGGGGTCCCTCGCAGAATCCCACCAGCCCTCTGGGCGCAGGTGATCTAGGGCGTTTCCTTTCCTAACCTCCTTCCTTTCCCTACTAAGGAATACCCCCCCCATGCGTTTGGACGGATGCCGCAAAATGGCCCCCACATGGCCCAAGACAGCCCCAAAAGGGGCCCAAGAGGGCCCCAAGTCGGCCCCAAGAGCGCTCCAACAGCGGGCCAATATAGCCCCAAGAGGGCATTTCTAGGCCTCCGAGAGGGCGATGGGAATTGGACCCCCCTCATCCTTTTCAGCGAAAATGTCCAAGACGGCCCCAAGAGGCCCCTCAGGCATCCCAACAAGAGCCCCAAGAAGGCCCCCGGACCCCCCCCAAAAAACCCAAGAAGCCCCAAGAAGGCCCTGAGATGACTTCAAGAGAACCCCAAGAAAGAGCACCAGGAGGCCCCAAGAGGGGCTCAAAAGAATCCCAAGACAGCCCCCCGACGCCTCCAAGTTTCGAAACACACACACACACGAAATTAGGATACAAAACAGTGCAACAGCCATTACGAGTCATCGAAAAAAAAACCCTCACCCTTCATCGAAGCACCATCGCAGCTTGCACCGATTCCCATCTTAAACTTCAACGCGGGAAGCTGTGTGATCCTTGTTTTCACGAGGACGGCTGTGCGCCTGCATGCCTCCTGCCGCCTCTGATTCCCCAATTCCCCTGCTGATCGTTTCTGGATGGGTTGGTGGAAATACTTTTTGTCGCAACCGCAGGCGAGAGCGCCAGCGTCGAGTAAGGTCCGAACGGGCCGCGCAAGAACCGAAATGCCTAACCCCGACGGGCCGGCGACTTAAGCAGCACCCAAGCGGGCGGGCCGGCGTGAGGGGGGAGCGGGCTGCAGCTGCCAGGAAACAGGTCCAGGAACGCGCACATGCACGATTAACCAACCAGGGTTGGAGCGCAGCCAGAATGGCGCGGGGGTGGTACCAGGATGTGGCCAGGAAGGCAACCAAGAGTACACTGCATCAGCTGCCAGGAAACCATACTGGCCATAAAACTGGTGCATAGGGTGGCGCCACCAAAGTCGCACACCGAGACTCCTGAAGGGAGTACGGATCCTGCATACAACCGTCCACGGGGTGCTCCCAGGAGGTCCAGCGAAGTAGCCAGGGAAACGATGAATGTAATCGACACCGTAATCGACACCGTAACCGTACTGGTGGGGATACTTTTTTGGTTAGCGGTTCCACGGTTCCAAGGCGACGGCCAGGGAGCGGGAGCGACGTCCGGGGCGGCGGAACGGTGCGAAGTTGCGAACACGGCCGCCAGTGTCGGCGGGCCAGCTCGCACAACTACAACAGAAGCAACTGCAGTAGGACATGCAATGAAAGCCAACGCACGTGCATTGAGCAAAATGCCCTACATTCAGGAGCGGAGAGTCGCACAGGTGGCGCCAATCCGCGCGGCCGACCTAGCCCGGGCAGGTAGTGCCAGGGTGCCGCAGCCGAAATGATGTCGGCACAGACGGGGCCTCAGAGGCAGGAGCCTACAGAGTGATCACTCCGCGATCCACACCGTTGCCCATAGCGGGGCCGACCAGCCAGCAGCCCCGAAACCACTCACGAGTCAGAACCACGATGATAGGACGCGCCTGCCCAAGCGTCAGTACTGCTGCCATCGGGTAACGGGTGAGGGTGCCAAGGTACGCTGCCGCCGCCGTCAGCTGGAAGGCGTAGAGGCGCGGCCAGGACTGGACCTGCCACAACCAGACGACGATGAGAGCGGGTGAACTGCAAGTACGAACTGCTCACACACGTCGCGGGCCGCTCCACAGCTGAAGGGGGGGGGGCCGGCGTGTCGTCATCGCACCGATGCCAGTAACAGGTCGGGGACGCAACGATGAGCCAGAACACGCAGGCCCATGCCGGTGCACTGCAATACGCGGAGACCGGATGCAGAACGGCCCAGGCCGACGCGATGAAGGCTGAACTTCTCAGCGCGAGGACCGCCCCACCGCCGCGTGCGGGGCCGGCCGGGACATAGGCGGAAGTCGAATGGGGGAAAAACCGAGCCCCCACTCCACGAACCACGCTGATGCCCATGGTGGGGCCAGCGCGCCAGCCATCGTCTTTGGACACCGCCAGGAAGCAACGATGGACGAGGACGCGAAGGCCCAAGCGCCAATGCTGCCACCGCGCTGCAACGGCCGACGACCGTCGAGAAACGCTGCGTCCGCGGCTAGCCTGAGGGCGCTGGGGTGTAGTCAGGGGCGAACCTGACCTCCGACGCCGGGCAAGATGCCCAGAGAAGGCAAGGGAGGGGGGAGGAGATGGAGGAGGGGAGGCGCGGCCGAAAGCCACAGTCACGTGTAATTGGCGCAAGAGAAGAGGGGAGCCACTTCCCGTGGCACTGGCGGTCTCGTTGGGGGGAGTCCCGCAGCTGCGCCGGGCGGCCCCGGCGCCTGCCCCCATGGTGGGTGGGCAGCGCAGTCCGCATCGTTGACCTGACTAGCCTCCTCGTGGCCTCTTCTATCATTCCGACACTACCGCTTCGCGGCACTCGGGGGTGGGGGGTCAGTGGGCTGCACGCGGACCTCCGTGACCTGGGTGGTGCGCAGTGGGAGGACTATTCCAGTCAACTACCCTCTGCCGACCAAAGTGGCTGTCGGGGGACAGCAAAGGGAGTGGGGCCTGGGGAGGCGTCTGCGCCCGCCCCCAGTCCCAAGCGCGCTGTCAGCCGTTATAGAGGGCGGCTGTTGGCCATGGGCCGGCGGGGCCTACGGGCTCACCACCGCAAGCCGTTGGGGGGGCAAGAAGGCCTGGCAAGGTTCACGTGTCCAGCGTGGGCTGTCTAGCTGCGCAGCGCCTTGGGCGAGATGTGGGCACGTCCCCGCCCCGGCGGGAGATGCCCCGGACATTGCGGCCGAGGCTGGGCGCTGCTCGGTGAAACAGTCCCCAGCGGGGAGAGGGCGGTTGGCACCTGGGGGGTTCGCTGTCGCTGAGGGCGGGGGGGCCCCGACGGGCGGGCGCGCCCCTGCCATGGGGTGGGGCCGCTGCTGCCGTCGGTCAAGCGCTGGGTGCGGGGCCTGGGCTCGCGTTGCAAGAGCCGGGTACGTCTGTCCTTGACCGTCGGCCAGTCGACGCGGAGCCCTAGGTCTCTGTCCATCTTGTATGCGTCATACGCTGCGTTGCCCCACGCCTGGAGGAATTCGCTGCAAAGATGCACGGAATTCAGCTTGGGGCCATTCTTCACAGTCTCGATGGTCTCTTGTCTCACGGCCGCCCTCCGTACCCATGCGACCCAGACCCCGTTGAACGCACCTCCGAGGGTCTTTTGTAGGCGTGATATATTCCCCTGTGCCGATCCGTCCTTCGTAACATCAGCTTCGACGACCAGGCGCATATGCGGGTCGCTCGGGTTGCCTCGGGGTGGGGACGCTTCTCATGCGCCTCTCCAGGGCGCCTGGAGAATGTGGGGCCGGGCTTGGTCGCCCCTAGGGGACTTGGCGGCGCGGCGGCCCCCGCCCCTGGGGCCCTCCCACGCGGGTCGCTGGTGGCCCCTGCCACCGATCGCGCGTCTGTGGGACCTATCGCGCCTGCCGTCGTCGATGGTCCCGGCTGCATTGCCCCCTCTTCGCTGGTCGCCCGAGGTGCCCCTGGCAGCGCCAGCGGCGCCCCTGGACGCGGCCTGCGCGCACGGGGACCA